TGTGTGTGTGTGTGTGTGTGTGTGTGTGTGTGTGTGTGTGTGTGTGTGTGTGTGTGTGTGTGTGTGTGTGTGTGTGTGTGTGTTGGGAGGCATAAATGAGAAATGATATCAAGTCCAGGACTGACACAGTGCTGGTGTCGGTGACCGAGTTCCATGCTTCTGACAGCACCCTCCTGGTGAGAGTGGAATGCACGTTGCTACATTCTGTGTTTTTGTCAATGGAGAAGCTGAGTTAAGGTAAAAGAGAGACTTGCTCAAAAACACCGAGCAAGTTTCATGTGGAATATGAAATAGAAGCAAAGAGCCCTGGGAATTCTGAGGGTTCTAGTTCAGAGAGACCCAAGAGGCTCTCGATTGGAGACGCCCAATGCACAGCCTCGCTTGCTGAGAGCTCACCAGGGAGGGAGCACTGGCCACGGTCAGAACCCACGGGTTCTGGGCCCAGTTCTGTTACCAATGGGCTGTGGAACCTTGCCAAGGTCCTTTCACCCCTCTGAACCTCCCGTTTCATGTGTCCAGGGAAGAGGAGTATGAGATAGTTTTTATTTCCCCCTGTTAATATTCTGTGGTCTTATAATTCTAAATCCCTGGAGTAGGTGAGACCCTTCTGTTCCCTCCTTTGCAGTCCTGAGTAACTGAAAACTCAAGGCTGCAGCCTGGAGGTCATTTTCCTAAACAAATGCGTACCACAGTTGAGTTATCTAGTTAGAGAGCAGAGACACAGGCTCCGTGATCCAGGCAATGGAAATAATTCTGATTTTCTACCCCTCCCTCCATTAAGAACAAGGTGACAGGGAAGTGAACCACCCCCACCCAAAGCTCACTGATTGCAGAAAGTACCGGATCAGCTTAGAAGACAGAAAAGTGCCAGAGAAAGTGCCAGATGGGTGTGGGAGAGTTTTGAGGCATGGTACAGAGAGAGGGCTGGGGTAGGGCATGAGGCAGGTTTGCAGATCACTGGGGAAAGGTTGAGGTATTATTGAAAACAAAGATCCTAGATGGCAAATTTCTACTTCTGCCTGGAGAGAGTCTCCCCACAGTTTCAGCCCAATGCCCCATCCAGACTCGAACTGAACCATATTTATTTCTTCAAAACTCATTGTGTCAACAACTCGCACCCACCTGCCACTGATTAATTCCTAGATAGAGGCATACAACTGTAAGATGTCGACTCTGCTTACAAAAGATGTGGGGCAAAAAAATCAACTAGGAGGATGGGGTATTCGTTGCAGTTACCGGGCAGAAGTACCAAGGGGTACGGGGGACAAAAGGGGCGATGCGCATGCTGAGTCTCCGGCGTCCGCGGTGGCGGGGCGCACGGGGTGGGCGGCGGTCCTCGGCAGCACAGGCCCCAGTTCCG